GTTGGCAATGGTGGCCTAGTTGGCAATGGTGGCATAGTTGGTAATGTAGTTGTAGCTGGAAATGTAGGTATAGTTGGCAATGGTGGCATAGTTGGTAATGTAGGTGTAGCTGGAAATGTAGGCATAGTTGGCAATGGTGGCATAGTTGGTAATGTAGGTGTAGCTGGAAATGTAGGCATGGTTGGCAATGGTGGCCTAGTTGGCAATGGTGGCATAGTTGGTAATGTAGGTGTAGTTAGAAATGCAGGCATAGTTGGCAATGGTGGCATAGTTGGTAATGTAGGTGTAGTTAGAAATGTAGGCATAGTTGGCAATGGTGGTCTAGTTGGCAATGGTGGCATAGTTGGTAATGTAGGTGTAGCTGGAAATGTAGGTATAGTTGGCAATGGTGGCATAGTTGGTAATGTAGGTGTAGCTGGAAATGTAGGCATAGTTGGTAATGTAGGTGTAGCTGGAAATGTAGGTATAGTTGGCAATGGTGGCATAGTTGGTAATGTAGGTGTAGCTGGAAATGTAGGTATAGTTGGCAATGGTGGCATAGTTGGTAATGTAGGTGTAGCTGGAAATATAGGTATAGTTGGCAATGGTGGCATAGTTGGTAATGTAGGTGTAGCTGGAAATATAGGTATAGTTGGCAATGGTGGCCTAGTTGGCAATGGTGGCATAGTTGGTAATGTAGGTGTAGCTGGAAATGTAGGTATAGTTGGCAATGGTGGCATAGTTGGTAATGTAGTTGTAGCTGGAAATGTAGGCATAGTTGGCAATGGTGGCATAGTTGGTAATGTAGGTGTAGCTTGAAATGTAGGTATAGTTGGCAATGGTGGCCTAGTTGGCAATGGTGGCATAGTTGGTAATGTAGGTGTAGCTGGAAATGTAGGTATAGTTGGCAATGGTGGCCTAGTTGGCAATGGTGGCATAGTTGGTAATGTAGGTGTAGCTGGAAATGTAGGCATGGTTGGCAATGGTGGCCTAGTTGGCAATGGTGGCATAGTTGGTAATGTAGG